CATAAATGCATCTGTATAACATTTATCAAATGTAATTTTTTTCATTATTCTTGGGGGGCATATTTTTTCTAGAGTTTTTTCTCCTTGTCCTAGAGACCCCCATGGTCCCTCACTATCACGTATGACAGTGCTCCAGGTCTGAGACGTTGCTGTTGCAGTATCGCATGTTGTTGGGGATGTGGCAGTCTGTGTAGTTAATGCCCCCGTTTGGGGTATAAATGGGCTGCAGTCTGAAATCTCCTTTAAGGAGCTGATCATTATTTAAGGAGACAATCTGGAAGCTGGTTTCCGTCATCTCCAGGATGGAGTTGTCCTTCTTGGTCCCTGCCTCACAGTAGTCGTCTTTCCGACGGCCCCGGTTATATTTCCACTTCTGGGAGGTGTAACGACCTTTTTTGTGCATGTGCCAGCAAAAAATGCTGAGCAAGACCACGAGGACAAATATCACTGCACCCCCAATCAACCCTGCCAGCAGAAATGGGGAGCCCAGATTCTGAGAAGTCGTCTGCTCATGGCTGGAAGGGATGTTGCTGCCATTGAAAAAGGAAGCCTTGGTTGTGGCTTCTGAACAGACAGTGTCTTCTCCAGTCCGGTAGTTGTTATAAGTATCCAGGGGAACCAAACAAATCCGGTAAGTGGATTTGGGCTCCAGATTTACCAAGCTTGATTGCTGCTTCTCACCACTAATTATTCGTTCATGAACAATTCCTCCGACCAGACTATGGCCCATTTTAACCCATGTGAGCTTGTATGCCATCACGGTAAAAAGTGACATCCAGTTGACTTGGATGCAAGTGTCATTCACAAAATGGATGGAGAGCTGAATCCATTCAGACAAAGGAGGTGTCACCCTTTCTCTGTCCTCCCTGTCAGGCACAGTGGGGAGTGTGGCTATGATGGGAGTGAGAGGATTATATTTACTACTTGAGGGAGGAAATGATGGGCTGGGAACTAATGTAGTCGGCATGGTTGTAGCTGGGACTGGGGTGATAATAAGTGGTAGACCAGGGGTGGTGGTGGGGCATGACAACATATTCATATTGAGCTCCCTGACTGCCATACCTCGGACCTGCTCTGGTCCCTGGCACATAAAACCACGTACATTGATGGAAGCTGGAATAAATTTGAGCCATTCAGTGACCCACTTAATGCTGCAGTCACATAACCAGGGATTATTCCTTACAGTGAGTTGTCTCAGGTTATGGAGATTATCAAATACTCCCTTTGCCAACATCCGAAGTTGATTGTTGGAAATATCAAGACGTTCCAGTTTGTGGAGGTTTGAAAAGGCTGTAAGTGGTATGTGGGTTATCTGGTTGTCCTGCAAGTAAAGTCTTAGCAGATGTGTACCTGGAAGATCGGGAGGAGGGTAAGTCAGTGAATTCCGAACTATTGAGAATTCCTTGAGCTTGGAGAGGTGACTAAAAGTGCCTTCAGCTATGCCTTTATTAGTGAGGAGATTGCCATCCAAGATCAGACGCTCCAGACTTGTAAGATTCTGGAAGGCCAGGTCTGAAATGACAGCAATTCGGTTTTCGTCTACACGAAGTTCTTGTAAGTCCAACGGAAGGCCTACTGGCACACTGCTTAAGTGATTCTTGGACAAGAACAGAAGCTTGAGGCTGATGGCTTCCTGGAATGCCCCATCCTCAACGCCAACAGTGGAGATGGAGTTGTCATCCAGGTGCAGTTCTTCCAGCTTCAAAAGCTGAGCAAGAGCAGCACGTGAAATGGTCTGAATGTTGTTTTCCTGCAGGTGGAGAACCCTGACATTCTTGGGCAGGTTCATGGGGAATTCATCCAATTGATTGCCATACAGGTAGACTGTGTGCACAGACTGGACATTGTGCAACTCTGCAGGAAATCCAGCATTATTAATTTGGTTATTATGGAGGTAGAGGACGGTTACACCCTCCGGTATCCCAAGAGGCACTGAGGTCAAACTTCGTTCATTACAGTAGACAAAGTTTCGGTCACAGCGGCAAACTTTTGGGCAGGCCAAAGTTTTGGAGACCTGTATGTAGAGCCCCAGGGAAAAGATAAGCCATGATTTCATCAGAAGAGCCCAATCTGTGGGCCACATTTTAGTCCACAAACCCATGTCTAATTTAAAGAAATAAAGTACCAAAGTGTTTAAGAACTGATAACAATAACAATGCACAGGTAACAAAATCTCAGGTCATTAAAATTTTTTGTCCAGTGTTCAGGCCAGAGTTAAAGTCCTGGAGGCGAAGCATAAAATAATCCTTTTATAATTGGCCTGCCTCCTACTTCTGATAAGGAAAACACAGTCTTATGAGCCAGGATTACAATGTTTGTTGTCTTCCTCCATGTGTGCTGAAAGAACCAGTAGCCATGTCTTTGCAAACGAACCACAGGTTACTTTGAAGCTACCAAAAGTCTGTGCTTGGAGGTGTATTTCACTGAAGTCTGTTGGCTTCTGTCAGCTTTCTGAAGTCAGCAAAGTCCTCATATTCACTATCTGCCAGATCTGGTCTGCCTGTAAAAGGAAAGAGAAAAGAAAAAGCTCAATAGAATGAAATGTTTAATAGGGAAGATCAAGCCCATTAGAAGACTATTCTAAGGCTTATAATCTCTTTATAGATTTCAGGGGGGAAAAAAAGGGAAAAAAAGGCATTAATATTAAACATTAGCTTAATATTACTGCTAAATAGTCTTGAAATAGATTTGATGCAAAGTCATTGCAATGACTGAAGGACATTCAGTGACTTCATTGAAGGCTAGATCTATTACTTTCATTTGCATACTATACCTCCAGTCTTTGTCCTCGCACAGTCTGCTTAAAACTTTAGAACTAAAAACAACCCAAAAACCTAAAGCATTTAACTGGAAATTTTTGCTCAGGTAATTATTTTTCTTCTGCAGAACCACTAACTTCAATGACTATTATTCACTGATGCCTGAAAGAGTAGACTCTGGGCTGTATTATTTAATCACACTCTATGTTTTTTTCATTTTCTACCAGACTCTGGAATATTCTGCTTCTATTTCTGTAATACCATTACATATATTGTCCAAATTAATGCACACTGCCAGATTATTTTGCCTCACTCTAGTGAATTAGAGACTTATAAGGAGAGTCTTTTAAACAAGCATGGTTGTCCACGAATGTAAGATACTGTGCTGTAAGACATGTACTTGCTAAAACTATCATATTGATATTGGTTCTGATGTGAATTGTGCTGTCAATAGATTCCACAACTATTTTCCACTATCTCCAAGCACAATTGCTTTCCACTAAATGAAACAGGCTCACATCTGCTAAGTTATTGTTTTAGGATATCAGCTCAAACTATGGCAGTTTTGCAGAGCACTTCCTTTGAAACCATAAAGGTTAGATATGGCTTTTAATTTTGCTACACAGTTATCTGTGAATGGCTACATAAACAAGTGTGTTAACTGTAGTATAGCTGAGTTCCTTAATGTGTATTTTCAGCTTGTAAGCATACTTTTTATGTTCCCAGTTACTATTTATTATTCAGATCTCTAACCAAACATTCCCACTCTCTAAAGTATGCAATGAAAGGTACTGTGTTGTTTGATGTTATTTTGTCTTGTTATAAGTTGTTTCTAATGATGGTCGCCCCCCGCCTTGCCCCCCATATGCATTTGGACTTAATAAAGGATATTAGCTTTGGCAAGTACAAAGCATGTGCAGTCCCAGGGTCTTCAACTGCAGTGACATAAGCACAATAATTTTTCAGGATTTGTTTATCCAGATCAAAGATCTAGCTAGGATTTCAAGAAAATAGAATTTTAGTGAATCAAAAATCCTGTTTCAAAAAGGTAGTTGGTTTTTACGATATACTCTTTATTTTAAAATTATTATTATATTAATATTTCTTTAAACAAATTAAGAACATCCAGGTCATTCAGAAAGAAACTTACTTTGGTCATACATAAAACCTTGTTCTTCTGATACAGCTGTGCAGTTTATAACATGTCCCTGATGCTACATTTGGGAATCCTATGGACTGGTAGTGTAGAAAGCATCCTTAGGAGTCAAACGGTTATGACCCTTCAACCTTGCACTTGCAGAATATTGTATTTATTTAGAGCATCATCAGGTATCAGCCTGAAGGTTCAAACAGCTGGAGATAAAAAAAATGAGACCCTGAAAAATCCTTTTTATCATTATGAGCTCAAATTTTAAAAATATGTAAATGTAATACTGCAATATAGCCTATAATATGTTGTCCTTTTATACAAACAGTAAGATTAGGTACCCCACTGTTCATGGCTTTCTATCTCACAGGCATATTTCAGTCAAGACTGATTTCTTTTCAATTATGCCAGATGACGTGATACTGTAGAGAAACTCTTAACAGGATTACATTCTACCATGAGCCTAAGTGTGACAGTTTATCCACCTTTAATACGGCCTGGCTCCCATCTAGATCACAGTGCTCTGATCTGTCATGACACTCTCACTTAAAATAAGAATGGATATGCAGAGCATCCTCTGAGTTGCTCGGGACCACACAGAGTAATGATAGCTGTTCTCTCACTTTCCCGTCATCCTCAGAGAGAGACAGCCTGTACCTCCTAAAAGATCCAGTACCCTGCACTGAGCTCACTTCCAATTGTAAGCCCAGTTACTGATTAACCTTTATTTCACTCCTGGGTATAATAGAAGGCCCAGCTGAGAACATGCAGCTGCAGCTCCTGGTTTGCTGGGAATCTCATAAGAAGGGACTGCCATATTAGAACTGATTTATGCATTCACCTCATTCTAGTACTCTGTCCAGTGTACCTCTCACCTAAGTAGATATGGCACCTGAATTAAAGATTTCAGTAATGGTACAAACAAATTAGGTCAAGCACACAGCATTTCTTATTAGATATTACAAGAAAAAGAGCTTTGATTGGACAGTCACTTAAGCAGATTCTGGAGTTTCTCTCCTTTTTTTGTTACATGGATTTTGCTATTAGAAATCTGTTAAAACTTTCCTCATGTTTTCTTCCCTTATGATGGAAAGAAAGGTAGTCCACTTATTAATGGCAGTATCCTAAACTCTAGATAGATATCAATCCTTAATAAAGAGATACAAAAAAACCAGTACAGATTATATGTATTTGGGACTACTCTTGATTGTACTAAGCAGGAACACAAGGAGCTATCTAACTAGATATTTATGACTTCACGGTTGACTGTGGTGTGGCAGAGGTAAAGAATGAGGAAGTAATGATAAAACTGAATGTATTTAAACAACTTTTTGGGGAAGGATTTTACTTCACTAGTCTTTTACAACTGCTTAACACTTAAAATAGGGCTCACAGTTGCTGTGCTTTTCAGTATATCTCAGGGATCCTAATGGAAAAGTGAGTTCTGTGTGTCAGAAATCTCTACCCCAAAGACATTAAAAAGATTGAAGAGTTGGAAACCTGCTCGATTGAAAAAAAAGAAACTTTATGAAGGAAAACCATTGTGTGTAAACTCCAAAATGCTAGAAAAGTGTAAGCAGTTTTTTTCTTCAGTAAAATGCCAAAACTGAAGGCAGGCAGATCACTCAGCTTCCCCTCTCCCCACCATTTCTGGCATGCTGGCTTCCTAAAGCAAACTCTGTTTTCAGTATGACTGCAAATATTAAATTGAATCTCTGCAAATTTACTGATTTTTTCAGAAGTAGAAATTTGAAATTGGAGGAATTAAAGATATTTCTTAGCTATTGTGGTTGTAAATCTAGGGAGTTGACTGCTTATTTTAAGTCAGAAAGTTCTATAAGCCAGTCTAGGTAGAGAAAAAGGCAAGTGTCACAATTAACTTAAAATTTAAGAAATCATCAAGCAAATTATTCAATAATAACACATCTGTCCATCAACAATTTGGTAATTTTTTTACACTCAATTTCTATTATTTCTCACTATATCCTCCTTAGACACAAGTTGTATCTTCCAAGTGTGTAAGACATTTCCTGCCTTACTGCAGCCAGGATATTAAATCTCATTAGATTTTAAAGAATGATACAATGAAGTTAAGAAAACAGCATTGAAATAGATGAGAAAATATCACGTGTCAGGTGGCCAAGTCTGAAAATTTGGCTTAGTAGTTCCTGCAATCAATGAAAATATTTGTTTTCGTAACTTACAATGCATTTCTGATCAACATTTTTATCTCACTGTCTTTTGTCAAACCTGCCTTGTTTAAATTCCCTTTTGGCATAACCGATGCTAGCTGGAAAAGAAAAATTTTGGCTTTATGTACTGGATAAAATATAAGGTGTTTTGATTAAAGATATTTTAAAGGTTGAAACATATGGCTGCAAGTTGGAAAGGTGAAAATTTTTTATTAGTTGTACCTTTACTGGTCAGAATCCTCCATACAACTTCCAGCCTTTGTCACACTGCATAGCCATGAAATAATTAATATATTACTGAAAGTGGTGTTCAATTATAAATTTGTGGCATCTAAGGGGGAAAAAAAATCACCTCACTAGTAGTCTGCCTGTGGAATTTTTCCTACCTCACTGACTGATATACTGCCTCAGTGGCTCTGCCTATGCTGTCAAAACAATCTGCAAAGCTGCCCTTAGAATCATCTTTCCCATTTTTTATTCTGCAGTCTTCCAAACATGCAGTCAAGGTCCCTGTGGCTATCTGAGAACCTAGTGTTATTCAGGGAAGAAAACAGAGAATAAAGGGAGAAGATAACATGTGGAACCAAGCCTGCATAGGAATACTTGCAATCCTATGTTATAAGCACAGAGTTTTGAAATGCTCTTAAAGCCAAGTTGTCTGTCTTCATGGTTTACATTAAGGCTATACATTTTTTCAGAGATAATAAAATTAAGAATACTTGGCTATTCTTTCCTTCAAGGGATACTGAAAATAATAAAAAATAGTTCAAAGGAATCCAAGGCCTTTTTTTTTTTCTGATAGTCTAACAAGTTAGCATCACTTTTCCCAGCAGTTCATCCACTTATCTGGACCTGAGTGCCATGCAACATAAACTGGAAGTCAAGCAAAACCAAAACCAAATGGTCATACTTACTCTTTTCACTATTACCAGTCAGTGACTCTTATTTAGCACTAAACCATTTGGCATAAATTTTCTTGGCTGTACTGCAGACTAGGGTTATAATCAAGTCATATAATCTTACTTTACATAATTATAATACACAGTAAGTACAATGCTATTATGTCTGGAATTGAATGACAAACAGAAAACAAATCTAATTCCTTTCATATGAAATCTAGTACAGACTTCCTTGTTTTTAAGAAAAATGTCCCTGTGTATCTCAACTGGTAACAAGAAAAATTACAGAATAACACCTGATATATGCTTTTTTTCCACACAAGTAAAGTTCATATCTGTGAGTGCACACATTAATGAATGTCCCGGTGTTTTGGTTTTTTTTTGTTTTTGTCTTTATTTTTTTAAGTGGTCAGGAGCCTTGGGTGATAGTTAGCTGTATATATTTCTCTATGAGTTACTTGGGTTTGAACTTTGTACTCATATTTTAATAAGAGTCTATAATC